CCCCAAAACCCCAAAACCCCTTGAAGAGCGATTATTCCAAAGTAACTAAGCTTTTAAATAATGATGTATAATATTAAATTATGACGTAAATACTCATGAAAATAATTGCTCTGATAATAGATAACCCCATTCTTTTTACAATCTCTGCATTCTTTCTATACACGTTCATTAAAAGAAAGAAAGACTAGAAAGATCCAATGAGATTCTTCTATGATCCAAATAACACTAATCTTAAAAAAGCCATCAATAACTAGTAACTCATGGGATAGGTAAGTGATTGGTGATCTTTAATCATTAATTTATTTAGACATTTTATCCATCTTTACTAGCATTTGGAGGTCATGAGTAGACATTTTCAATAGGTTATTAAAACCCTAAACTCTAGGATAAGCTCAAGGATGTCGTGATATTTAAAAGAGAGTTATTTAAGTTAAGTGATGGTGGCACAGTCGCTATTGACTGGGCAAATTACAATGATAAAGTTATAAACAGACCTATTTTAGCAATGATACCAGGATTGTCTGGAAACAGCAATCAGAACTATAACTTAAGCATGATTATGGAAGCAGAATAGTATGGCTATTAATGTGTAGTGTTGAACTACAGAGGAGCAGCTGGTGTAGATCTAACAGTAAGTATATTAATGCTATATAGTTATTAATATCTATATAGAGTCCTAAGCTATACTGTGCTGCTAGTTAATATGATTTTAGAGAAATAGTAGATCACATTCATTTTAATTACTGTACAAATGAAAATGGCAAGCAGTTAAGAGATATTTTTATGACTGGAACGTCTCTAGGTGCAAATAACCTTGGAAATCTAATTGGAGAAGATGGGGATAAATGTAAGGTGAAAGCAGCTGTCTGTTTTCAACCACCAATGTGGCTTTATAAATCCTCTGCATGTATCGATAAAGGTCTCTATGGCTTTTATGGAAAGCATTTCGGTAAAACTTAATCTGCTGTTGTCAGACCACATGTTGAATATATGAGAGAACACATTATAAAATCTCATGGCATTGATTTAAGATAAAAACTAGACGAGGTTAAAACATTAAGGGACCTTGATGATAAAATCACATGCATAATCAATGATTATTAAACAATTGAGAATTATCACTATTATGGCTCTTGTGCCACTAGGATTAAAGGCATTAGAATTCCCACGATGTTTATGTTTGCTGAAGATGATCCCATTATAGGGAAAGAATCAATTGACTATGAATAGTGCTTTTAGAACCCGAATGTAATGATAGGAGTTACTAAGAGAGGAGGACATACTGGATATTTCGAATCAGCATTTAGCCCTGAATAGTGGTTCCCAAAACCAATCATATAATTCTTAAATTCTTTTAGAGATGACTTGAACTGATTTAAGTTAAGGGAAGTCACTTATCGAATATTAAACTTAATTAATATTAAAATGTTTTCCAAGCTTGATTTATAACTATTTAATTGAAGAGCGGGGTTTTGGGGTTTTGGGGTTTTGGGG